AGTACAAACGTGTCTTTCGTATACGAAATCCTGTGAATAGGTCGACTTTACACCCATCAAAACCTCTACTCCTTTATGGTTTCGATGCTTTATTGGCAGTTGAAATGCACATATAACACAATTTTCAGGAATCCACAAATCGGCCATAAACCGAAAGCGTGCCTTCATCCTTATGCTTCGTTTTAATTCTTCCGTAATCCTAAAGTTTTCGATAACTAAAGGATAACAATTGAAGATTCCTCGCTGTGTAGTGTAAGCAGATATAATTGATGGAAGGGTGGCTACATTCTTATGAGTTTGATAATTTCCTATGGATTCAACTTCTTTTGTCGAAATACAATCTGGTGTAATGTAGATAAAAAGACGTTATATTAACTCTGGTGTTATAATAAAAAGTCTAATTAATGGAAGGAAAGGCCTTATTAAGTCTCCTTTCGATATGTTATCATTTATCCATTTCAATTTACGAAATTTCTGCTCGACCCACTCGAGAAGTCCATGCACCAAATCAGACACATCCATCCCGTAAAAGTAGGAGCACATCAATAACTTGTACATGGTAGTTTCTTCACACGATTTGAAATCGTCGGTGTCGAATAAGTCGTATTTGGACACAGTAAAATATTCCCAACAGCGATATTTCAACTGTTTTTCGTCGTGACTGCATGCCAAATCGTGGACACGGCAAAAGTTTCTAGGCAGAATCGACCGTGCGAAATAATATAAACACATTCGTTCCAGGTCTCTGATGAAGAAACGTTTGCTGATTAAGTAGGGGAGAGCGGGGCTACAAGTTCCGTTTTTTATTCAACCTCATAATTTGTTAATGAAACTTAATTCTAGCATAAGTATTGAGATATTAAAATTTACTAATATATCTAACTTTGCTATTAAGACAGTTTTTGGGGTTTTTTTTGGTAAGATTTTTTATAATTAATAATACAATACCTAAAGTCAGAAAGTAACAACTTACCCCGATTCGGGGCTAGTTGTTAACAGGGTGGGGCAAGTTGTTACGAGATCTATGGAAGGTGTAATATGTAAAAAAAAAACAATAATTTATTTAACTAAGTACGTATTTAAGGACTAATCAATAATATCTTATGAATAATTAGTTGTTTTTCTTAAATTTATTATAAACTAAACATTTTTACATTTTAACATTTATAATTTTTACTTAAAGATTGAAACATTAACCATTATATTAGCTTAAGTAGCTAATCAGCCTTGAAATTATCAATTATCAGTCTTCAATCATATCAGAAAGTCGTCTTTGACTGAAAATAATATTATATTTATAAATCATCACAAGATTCATCAGAACCGCAATTCGGACAAAAGTATGTTAACATGTCACGATATTTTCTACATCTGGAATGGGCCCAGTTCTTACATTCTTGACACTGGATCCATTCTTCACCAGAACGTGAGTTAGAGTAACGGTCACAGCAGACTAAACAATAATACTCTAAACTATCCTCTTCATTCTCAGAACTTTCACTGCTCATTTGTACAACCTGTCGTTTAATGGACTTCCTCTTTCCTTTTCCTTTTAGCGTTCTCTTGTCGTTCCCTTTTATTTTATTCCCTTGATTTCTCTTTACCCTTCCCTTTCCTTTATTTTTTCTTACTTCTTCATTATCAATGCTTACCTTCCTTTTTTTGCTTTGCTCTTCTGCCAGGGCTTGTTTCTCAGGAGTGTCTGTTAAAATTGCGGATTTTCTACGACATCTCTTGGTCGTTCCACTCCGTGGTGGTGCCTTTGGAAAGGGACGAATTGCTTCTGGGGAGAAAGGAACATCCTTTCCAAGTCCTTGTACAACACCAGAAGTTGTAGACAAATTTACAACTCCTGATGGCCCTGGTTGATCCAAGATTTGTCTTTCGTCAATAATGCTTACAGTTTCACGTGCATTGTTGGATTTATCTATACTAGTTTCTGCCTCTGAAACTTCCATATCAATTATATCAATATCATTTATAGGTGTGATGCCTGCAGAGACACTCTCATGCGTTGGAGCCAAAGGGCGATCTGTGACGAAAGATGGAGCAAAGTCGTCTTCAGTGAAAATATTAGGATCATATGGCCAAATGCCAGCCTTTTTAAAAGAGCTCATTATATTGATAGGAGTTGCTGCAATTGGCAACGCATATTTTACGATTTCAGGGATCTCATATATTGACATTGTCTTGCCAGGGTTGCTGCGTAGCCAGTTGTCTTGAGCCTTTGCACAATAATTTTTAAACGGTGCATTCACTCCAACGTCCAATGGTTGCAGACGGTGTGTACAATGAGGCGGGAATGACAGCATTACAATGGAGTTAGATTTCGCTTTTTCTACCACATTGATATCGACGTGAGATTGGTGATTATCAAGCAATAACAAAACTGGATCTGAAGGTGATGGTCTGGTGTGTTTGATGAAGTGATCCATATATATGAGGAACTCCGTAGCTGTCATCCATCCAGAGCTATTTCCTGCACCAATGGATTCCGGTGGTCCGCCTTTGATAAACAAATCCTTGTATTTAAGTCGAGGGAAAATAAACATTGGAGGAACTGTGTGTCCTAATGCATTTGCTGCCAGTTCTACGGTGACTAATGAACCTCGTTCTGCAGATACTATAGCTCCAACTTGCTTAGTTCCTTTTTTGGCAATAATTTTCTTTGGCTTTAGCACTGTTGTAACGCCAGTTTCATCTAAATTATATATTCTCGAGGGCGGAAATTTATATTTATCCAACACTGTGCCTAGCTTTGTAAAAAATTCGTTAATATTGTGCTTATTAAAAGATGATGCTCTGCTAGCACTTGTCGATTCCGGGGCTCTAATCGAGAGTTGAGGGTTTCTCTTTAAAAAACCAGTCAGCCAATCTGGACCAGCTTTTTTATTCTCATGCCAAGATGGTGGAATATCAGAGGCGTTGAATTTCTGTGCACATTCATATGCTAATTTTCGCACTTCCTCTGGTAGAAGACCAAAGAAAATTGTTGCACATTTTAACAAATATTCTGCTAACTTGTTTTCCTGTTCTTCACTAAAGACCAATCTTACTTTTTTGTAGCCAACCACAGCGTTTTCTACTCCAGATTTCAACTTCTTTACAAATCTGTATAACGTCATATGACAAATATCTAATTCTCTGGCAACAGTTTTTATTTTTTTACCATCTTTAATAACTGCATCTGCAGCTCTTTGCATCAACTCCTGAGATACAGAACCTCGTGTTGATTTTCGAATATAAGTCCGCATACTGTAAAAGAAAAAAAAAATATTACTGTATTTTTACTGCATTGCCAGTACAGATGAACTGGGGCAAGTTGTTCCAAGGTCACAACATGCCCCCAAAGAAGGGAACATCTAGCCCCAATAACACATGGGTTCAAAACAGCAACTACTAGATTAGGTTACGAGACATACACGGTTTTAGCATTTATATCAAGATACCATATATATTTTTGAATAAAAAATACCAAACAACTAATCGCTAATTATTTAAATTCGCCAGATATACCAAAAATATCAAACACGAAAATATTTACTTACGTGGATCAGCGACGTACAGGCTCCTTTTCCAATGTACTGGACGTCACTGGCCTAACTAAGATGGCTGTTGTCGATGCACAGAAACATTCGATTTCATGACGTATTTACTAATTATTATTATTTTTTTCCTTATGAAGCTATTTCAATGGCAACAACTTACCACGGGAACTTTTAGCCCCGTTCTCCCCTACAGTTCGAATCCATTATCCACAGAAGGGTAATTAAAAACGTCTATCTCCAAATATCTAAAATAAAAGTACACTGTATAAGGTTATAAAATTATACATAAATTATTTAAAATAATATAAAGTAGACCCCGCCATACAAGTTTTCAGGTTTACGCAATTGGAGATCAGAAAAAAGTTAATAAAAGAGTTAATTGTACACTAAATTAGTGTTAAATAATAACAACTGTACAAACCTGAAAAATTCATTGAGCATTTCCAACGTCAGGGGCAGTTTGAGAATAAATTTCCTTTCGTTGGGACACACAATTATGAAGTTATTCAGTAATCCTCCCTTTTCTATCAAGCGTTCTCGTAATACTACAACAGATTCTCCATTATCGTTGAGTAAAGTCACTTCATTCAAGTTAAATATTTCTTCCACTTCTACCTTTGACATCTTCCTTTATACTAAATCAATAATATTCTCGCCGATTTAAAGGGATAATATCGAATATTTTCCAAATTTTACCGAACGATTACTTTTCTAATGCTTTGCAGTGTATTTTCCCTTACGTTACATTCACCACCAAATTAGAAAGGATTACCTCGTTTGTCTCCCACTTTATATGCAAATTAGTTTATTTGAGGGATTGATGCTGAATTTTTCGCAAGTGTTATTGTACGTAAAATATTTATATTTTATAAATAATATAATGTTGAATAATTATAACGTTATTTAAACTTCCGTTTATTATTTTTTCCAGTGACATAACAGCAAGAGGCGTTACTTTTCACCTCCTATTTATTACAAGAGACCTCTGACAAGATGGTTACTAGTTTGAATAGTGTTACTCAGCATTAAAATAAGCCAACCAGAGTTTAAAAGGCGTTTATAAGTAGCTATTCTACAACCAATTAGCTGCAACAATCTTAAATATGATACGCTGCATTATAATTATCATGAACTACACATACATAAATACAAATACATACAAATACATAAATTTGTATTTATTATTATTATACTTTCATTGTGGTAAACATAGTTGTAGTTTGCTCTACAATACGAACAGCTGTTAGATTAATTATTGTTTGCATAAAATAGATTTATTTTCCTTTTAATATTGCTCGTAATACTTGATTACAGTCGACCTCCCCTATAACACTGTTAATTATTCCGTTTTATATGAATTCCATGTTGTACGAGTCACTTAGATTTTACAAATACGTGTGCCAGGCTGTGAACTGATCACGTATTTGTAAAATCTAAGTGACTCGTACAACATGGAATTCATATAAAACGGAAAAATCAAAAGTGTTAAAGGGGGTCGACTGTATTTCCTCCATTAACACATGGAAAAATATTCGTAAGATCATATAAAGCTATACAAAAGGTGAAAGAAAACATTTGTCGTTCTAAAAATGCATAAATTATCCAATAAAAAGCATGTTTACAAGTTTTAGAAAGTAAGAGAAATACCAAAATTGAATGTTGTTTCCTTTTCTAAAAGTCTTGTAGCCTGAGCTCTGAAATCGTAGATCGGCTGATATCTACAACTGCATTTTAAAACCTGTATCAAGGTGGTTTTTATTTCTTCCTTCGGAATCTTAACTAAAAATATGTGAAAATTGCCCCTCTTCAAGTATTTCAGCTTTGGAAAACGTACTACTCCATCCATAGTACAAACGTGTCTTTCGTATACGAAATCCTGTGAATAGGTCGACTTTACACCCATCAAAACCTCTACTCCTTTATGGTTTCGATGCTTTATTGGCAGTTGAAATGCACATATAACACAATTTTCAGGAACCCACAAATCGGCCATAAACCGAAAATGTACCTTCATCCTTGTGTTTCGTTTTAATTCTTCCGTAGTCCTAAAGTTTCCGACAACTATAGGATAATAATCGAAAATTTCTCGCTGTGCAGAGTAAGCAGATATAACTGATGGAAGGGTGGCTACATTCTTATGAGTTTGATAATTTCTTATGGATTCAACTTCCTTTGTCGAAATGCAATCTGGTGTAATGTAGGTAAAAAGACGTTCTATTAACTCTGGTGTTATAATAAAAAGTCTAATTAATGGAAGGAAAGGTCTTATTAAGTCTCCTTTCGATATGTTATCACTTATCCTTTTCAATTTACGAAATTTCTGCTCGACCCACTCGAGAAGTCCATGCACCAAATCAGATTCATCCATCCCGTAAAAGTAGGAGCACATCAATAACTTGTACATGGTAGTTTCTTCACACGATTTGAAGTCGTCGGTGTCGAATAAGTCATTTTCGGACGTAGTAAAATATTCCCAACAGCGATATTTCAACTGTTTTTCGTCGTGACTGCATGCCAAATCGTGGACACGGCAAAAGTTTCTAGGCAGAATCGACTGTACGAAATAATATAAACACATTCGTTCCAGGTCTCTGATGAAGTAACGTTTGCTGATTAAGTACAGTTCGAATCCTTTATCCACAGAAGGGCAGTTAAAAACGTTTATCTCCAAATATCTAAAATAAAAGTACACTGTATAAGGTTATAAAATCATACATAAATTACTTAAAATAATATAATATATATACATATATAGACCCCGCCATACGAGTTTTCAGGTTTACGCAATTGGAGATCAGAAAAAAGTTAATAAAAGAGTTAATTGTGCACTAAATTAGTGTTAAATAATAACAACTGTACAAACCTGGAAAATTCATTGAGCATTTCTAATGTCAGGGGCAGTTTAAGAATAAATTTCCTTTCGTTGGGACACACAATTATGAAGTTATTCAGTAATCCTCCCTTTTCTATCAAGCGTTCTCGTAATACTACAACAGATTCTCCATTATCATTGAGTAAAGTCACTTCATCCGAGTTAAATATTTCTTCCACTTTTACCTTTGACATCTTCCTTTACACTAAATCAATAATATTCACGCCGATTTAAAGGGATAATATCGAATATTTTCCAAATTTCACCGAACGATTACGTTTCTAATGCTTTGCAGTGTATTTTCCTTCACGTTACATTCACCACCAAATTAGAAAGGATTACCTCATTCGTCTCCCACTTTATATGCAAATTAGTTTATTTGAGGGATTGATGCTGAATTTTTCGCAAGTGTTATTGTACGTAAAATATTTATATTTTATAAATAATATAATGTTGGATAATTATAACGTTATTTAAACTTCCGTTTATCATTTTCTCCAGTGACATAACAGCAGGAGACATTACTTTTCACCTCCCATTTATTACAAGAGACCTCTGACAAGATGGTTACTAGTTTGAATAGTGTCACTCAGCATTAAAATAAGCCAACTAGCGTTTAAAAGATGTTTATAATTAGCTATTTTACAACCAATTAGCTGCAACAATCTTTACAATGGGGAGTATCCAGTTTCAATGTTACAGGATTGTGAAAAGACACTTATAACACTGTTAATTATTCCGTTTTATATGAATTCCATGTTGTACGAGTCACTTAGATTTTACAAATACGTGTGCCGGGCTGTGAACGGTTCACGTATTTGTAAAATCTAAGTGACTCGTACAACATGGAATTCGTATAAAACGGAATAATTAACAGTGTTATAGGGGGTTTCGACTGTATAACATTACAAACTAAATATTGGCATCACGTTATCTACATTTAATTATCAATATTGGATAATTATTATTATTATAATTATTATTA